AACAATTGCCACAAAGAAACAACGACGAATAATCGATTAAATTGAAGCGAATGAAAAAGTGTTAATCGACAAAAATGAATTTAAGACTATTTTCTCTATCAAATTTAGTGGCAAATTATTGTAGCTTTGTTATAAAATTACATGAAAAACATACTTAGAGATCACAAATCTTTTTTTTTTTTTGATTTTATATTATGAAAAATCATAGTTTTTTACTTTTTTATATAATTTCGTTGAAATTCTTTTTGAAAAAAAAACCGAAAAAAAAATCAAAATATTGCAGCTTTTTATATAAATTTGTTGAATTTTTTTCTTTTGAAAATAGACCAAAAAATAAGTTTTAAATTTTTTTCCAGTGATTTTATTAAAAAACGCTGTGATTTTTCATAATTGAAAGTAAAAAAAAATTGTGATATTTAAGTATTTTTTATGCATTTATTATGATTTTTTGTTTCCATATAACCTTCCACATATATATATATATATATATATATATATATATATATATATATATATATATATATATATATATATATATATATATATATATAGGGTTAGGTTAATGTGAGACAACCTAATTTTGAGACCGTAATACACATTTTCTATTTTTTTTTTTTAAATTTTTTTAGTTAATTCAAGTTCCGAAAATAATATTTTAAAAAAAAAACTTTTGGATTTTTCCATTTATTTTGCATTTTAAAATTATTTTTTAGAATATGTCAGTGTAATATTCTATTAGAATATTTCACGTATTTTTCAAAAAAAAAATATGGAATTTATTTTTATTTTTTTAATTTTTTTTTAGTTAATTCAAGTTTCGAAAATAATATTTAAAAAAAGAATTTTTAGATTTTTCCATTTATTCTGCATTTTAAAATTATATTTTAGAATATGTCAGTGTAATATTATATTAGAATATTTCACTTATTTTTCAAAAAAAACGGAATTTTTTTTTATTTAATTCAAGTACCGAAAATAATATTTAAAAAAGAATTTTTGGATTTTTTCATTTATTTTGCATTTTAAAATTATGTTTAGATTTGGTCTCACGGTCTCACAAAATTAGAATGGTTTCAAATGAACCTGAACCATATATATATATATATATATATATATATATATATATATATATATATAGAGAGAGAGAGAGAGAGAGAGATAGAGAGAGAGAGAGATAGATGGGGTTCAATAAATAACCATTATTAACAAGTACTAATGAACCAATCGTGAGTGTCATAAATTATAATAATCAACGGCCAAAGGAATGGATATACACTTGTATATTGGACACACTTACACTGGATTATACCAAATAACATTTTTCTTTTTTTTCTTTTTACCAAAAACCATGTTTTTTTCGTTTAAGTTTTTATGCCATGTTTTTTATGGAGAAAAAAACAATATATCACCGTTCACGTTTTTTCGTCGTCTTTCAAATATAAAAAAAACTTTATTTGTTTTTGAAAAAAACCCAGTTGTTTTTTTTTTCAATATTAAAATTTATTTTTATTAAAAAAACTAACCATATCAACAACATCAATTTTTTTGTCATCTATTAATTAAAATCAACACCGATTAAAAAAAAATTTGATCAGTTTAGATTCACACTGTGAATCTGAATTATCATATTTCAATTTTAACATCCACAATGTAAATCCGACTTACTATTTCAACTATTTGATCATTTACAAATTAATTTAATAATATTTACATATGAATCGTAACATATTTTCATGCAATTTTATAATATTTTAACTTTTTGATTGCTAATAAATTAGTTTAATAAAATTAACAAATGAATTTTTTTTACATTGTGAATATGAATTGTATATAATATAGTTTCAGAATTTACAATGTAAATCTGACTTACTATTATTTACACTGTGAATCTGAGTAGATTCACAATGTAAATCTGAGTAGATTCGCAATTTGAATCTGAGCAGATTCATAATTTGAATTTGAACTGAAAAATCATTTTTTTACATCAATATAAATTTATGTTTAAAGGATAACAAAAAAAAATGAATTTTGATATACTTATTAATTTTTTTTCGATAAAAAGTAGACCTTAAATTGTCAAAAAAACAAAGAAATAAAGTGGGTTTTTTTTTTGGAAAAAACATTTATTTTTTGTATATCAATATCGATCTCTATGAAAAAATGACGAAAAATCATAAACAATGGTATATTCGGTTTTTTTTTTTCGATAAAAAACATGTCTAAAAAAAATAAATGAAAAAAAGAAGCGAACTTTATTATAATCTGGTGCATGTGCATCTATTATAAAAATTTACAACTTCATTTTGCCGTTGATCACTTTAAATTCTGACGTTTTAGATTGATTCATTAATTAATAATGGTTCTCTATTTAACTTTTCCCGATATATATATATATATATATATATATATATATATATATATATATATATATATATATATATATATAAAAGGTTAGGTTGTTGTATTTTAACTATTTATATATTGTGTGGATGTATGGTTGATTGTTGACCATTCATTTTAGTTATATGAAAATGACTGATTAATAAATATTATTGATTTAAAAATAATTGAAAAATACTATTTAATTTGATTATAAAAGTATTTTAGTCAACTGAAATAAATTTAAAAAAGAAGAATTCCAAATTCTTGGAGATAATTATGTATTGATTTTTTTAATTAATTTAGTTTTAATTCTAACGTAATTTTTAATTATACATGATTTCATTATGTCAGATTGACTGTTTGTTAGAATAATATTGTATAAGAATGTCAGGTATATATTTCCAACATAATACATACTTTTATTAAATGAACTTCTTGAAAAAAAAAACAACATTCTTAAACCATTAGTTGAAAAATAGCAAGATATTTGTATATTCATGAACATCTGAATATAGATTGATACATACTCTTACATAATAATAGTCTTATACATTTTCATATAATTATACATATTCCAACAAAATGTAATAAAAATGAAATAAGTTTTTAAAAAACATAGCATGCTTAAATATACAATTCTTGAACGAATGCACTTGATTTTCTTCAGTGGTCCAAAGTTGACATTGATTTTAACCATGCTTATGAGAATGCCATTATATGGGACTAACATCAGACGAGAATTATATTATTTAAGAATATCATTCTGTGAGAACACATTTATCTTCATTGTCTAACATATGTAATGCTCATGTCTAGGGATGAGCAAAAGAACCGGTCGGAACCGAACCGGACCGGGGAACCGGCTTCGGCCAAAATGAAGAACCGAACTGGCCCGGCGGTTCTACCGGTTCCGGTTTCGGGTCCGGTTTTTGCCGGTTTTTCGAGTTTGGAACCGGCTAAATTTTGATGTATCCAACGACTAAATTACTTTGCGTTTTATTGGTTTTTCGGGTCCGATTTTTGCCGGTTTTTCGAGTGATTCCAACGACTAAATTACTTTGCGTTTTATTGGTTTTTTTTATGTAGAAGTGGATGTTTAAATACTAGTAAATAATCAAAATTATAATAATCAACATTTTAATAAATGATTCAACATTCAAGCAAATTAACCATGAATCTTTTATTTAAATTATTACAAGCAAATTAAACATGGATGTCGTCAAAGTTATGTTATTAAGTATCCAACATTCAACATTCAAAATACACTTTCGACATTCAAAATATACTTCCAAGTTTCACCAAAAAAAAAAAAAAAAAAAAAAGGGTCTAATATGTGGATTCCAACATTTCTTTGATATTTTGACTAATTCCCTGATCTTTTCCCCGTTAGCTTCAAGTTGTGTATAGCATCCACAATGTCTATATATAATACAAAAGAAAAATGTTATTACTTACTAAAATGTAACAAATACTAATAAGAAGTTAAAAATAAGATGTAACAAGTATTAGTGTATTACCGATAGCGAGGTCATCGTCAGCTAACACGTCGTGCACTTCGTCGTAGTCATATATAGGCAAGCTACTCTTTCTTAGCCAATCTTGAGTGCATATCAATGCCTCCACAATCACAACGAACAAATTAGTACGGTAGTCGGTAATTACTCGACGACCGTTACTAAATGTGGATTCGGATGCTACGGTGGAAATTTGCATCCCCAAAATATCTATTAATAAACAAATTAGTGTATAATACACGACACAAATTTATAAATTAATTTGAAGTTGTTAATCTTGCCATTCGAGCAACGATCGGGAACCGCACCGCATTATTTTTCCACCATGTGAGGATATCATATCCTTTGTCAAATCCGATTGGGTCATCGTTTAAGTATCGTTGCAATTGACTTTCTAACGAAGTCGAGGGGAAACTTCCCGAAGTCATATAGCTTCTAAAGAATTCGTTTTCGTCATCAAAATTAACAACTTCTTCGGGAGTTTCTTGTTGAGACGATGAGGTCATGTTTGACCTTTCCAAGTATGTCTTGAAAAACTTGTCCAATTTGCATTCGATATCAATAACCTTTGCATGTGCTTTGGATTCTATCTCATCAGCGAACATCTTTTTATCTTTGTTCTTGGCTTTAAGCATTTGGGTAAAAACAACTTTCATAAACTTTGACTTGCATTGAGGATCTAACAATGTCGCAAAGAAGACATAATCACTTATAGTATCATAGTCACCCCAATATTTGTCATATTTATTTTTCATATTTGGTACCATAAACATAAAATCCGGGTTGGTTTCATGTTTCCTAAGATGTTGCTCTATATCTAAGATGTTGCTCTATATCTAGGATCTCCCGCATCCTTCATGGCTTGTTTAAACGTCTTGATCCGTTCCGGGGAGGCTCTAATATATTTCACCGCATCTTGTAGGTTTTTTACATGATAAACTTCGTGTTTTAACCCCATTTTCACAACTAGGTTTATGATATGAGCCATACACCTAATGTGAAAATGTTTGTCATTCTCGTAAATACCCAGTAGTTCTTTCACAATGATGTTGATTGCCGCGTCATTTGTCTTGGCATTATCAACGGTCATCGTCATGACATTCTTCATCCCCACTCGTTTATGCAAATTAGCAACTCCCGGGCCATGTCTTCAGCTTTGTGAGTATCAATCTCTCTAAAGTTTGCTACCCTTTTGTGCATGACAAAATCTTCGGTAATGAAGTGGGCCGTGACAACCATATAATTTATCTTTTGACACGAGGATGTCCACGTGTCGGTTGTCAAGTGGATGGCTGTTTTAGGGTTGCTCAAATGTTTGTACAACTTCTGCCTCTCCATTAAATAGAATGACACAACATCACGAGAAATTTTATGCCTTGAAGGCAATTTCACCCTACCATTGAGGGCGTTTACAAATTCTATGAATGCCTCGTTTTCAATGAATTTAAATGGTAGTTCCCCGATTGTGAAAAGTCCTAGCAAGGCAAGTTGGATCCTAGTATCATCATGTTTCCATGTGTATACATGACCCTCACCATTAGGAGCTTTTGTAAATGACAACTTTTGTTGTTTGTCATCAACTTGTTTCGGTATGTTGTCTGGATTTAACTTACACTCATTAAAATGCTTGCTTATTGAAGTTGTCCCATTCCGGTTTGGATCTGCAGCTAGTAAATGTAAACAATAATTACACTCGGCCCACTTTCTTTCAATTCCATCATCCTCCTTTATCCATTCGATCTCGAAGTATTTCCAAACAGGAGCGATACAATTATCTCTACCCTCACCTCGTCTGGTTGGGTTAATCCGGTCCCTTAACTCCTTTTGAGTCTTTTTTTTTGTTTTTGGGTTTTGGTTTTATTGGGTATTTTTCTTGTGTTCGTTTTTGTGTTGGTGGTGGTTTTTTTGTTTGAGTTGATTTTTTTGGTTGTCTTTGTTTTTGTGTGGTTGCAAATTTTCGTTTTTTTTTTAAGGTTGTTGTTCTTGTGGCTCCTCTTATTGGTTTGATTCATCACTTGGTATAACATTCCATGCTAGTGTTTCTTCTATATAATCTTCTTCTGAATCTTCTCCACAATCCTATATTCTCAAAATAAAACATATAATAAGTCATATTACGTTTAAATGTTGAAAAAAAAAAATCAGATTTGACACCCTTCTTTGCGTGGCTTGTAACTCATTTAATTTTTAACCAAATCAAGCATTTTTATAATCTAAATTCAACTACAAATTCTAATCTACATGTAGGAAAAAGATTCAGGTCAAAATAAGTTATATTGAATGAGTTATGCACATTTGAACAGCAAAATCAAATCACGTTTTATTGCTGTTAGAAAAAAAAAATCAGATTTGACACCCTTCCTTGCGGGGATTGTAACTCATTCTATTTTTAACCAAATCAAGCGTTTTCATAGTCTAAATTCAACTACAAATCCTAATCTACATGTAGGAAAAAGATTCAGGTCAAAACAAGTTAAATTGAATGAATTATACACATTTGAACAACAAAATCAGATCACGTTTTATTGCTGTTACAAAAAAAAAAAAAAAAAAAAGAATCATATTTGACACCCTTCCTTATGGGGCTTGTAACTCATTCAATTTTTAACCAAATCAAACGTTTTTATAGTCTAAATTCAACTACAAATCATAATCTACATGTAGGAAAAAGATTCAGGTCAAAACAAGTTAAATTGAACTAGTTATGCACAATTTAATATTTGGACAGATTGCTAAAGAAATAAATATTGCTAATGAGCTAAATGCTAATCTTACTTGGTCATCAAAGTCTTTTCCAATCCAATTAGCCGGATTACCATCTTCAATATTGGCATCATGAGCATCCGAGTTTCGGTATCTTGATGATGATACATTTGGTAGGCCATCCAAATCCTACAATGTCAATTTTACACATTAATTATATAACAAAAGTACTATACAAATTCGTAGTTTTGACAATCTTACATTCATACTATAAACAATAAACTAATCTAACAAAAATCTTGCATGTATGTCTACAAAGTACATTATTAAATGGAGCTTAAAACATGAAACATATATTATATGTACAACCTTTCATCCGTAAAGGAGTACTCCACTATGAGACTATGATCAAGAATCAAGATCTTTTAATTAAGTAGGGATAACAATGCATATATTTGGAATGGAGACAACAAAACCAAAGAAAAAAAACTTGCATGCATGCCATTATTTGGCGAATCATTAAAGCATTGAAGCAAATATTGAAATATATAATCTTAAAACATGAAATATAAATATATGCTCTTACTTGATCTTCATGAACATCCATAGTTTGAATCATTGAAGCAATTGAAGATGAAAATCAATGAATGATGATAAAGAATTGAAGATCGATTGAAACTTGGAGATGGAAACTTGTAATCGATGGAAACTTGGAGATGAAGAATTGAATGATGATGAAGTGATGCTGATTGCCGATTGTTGAAGAGAGTAGGGTTCGTGACTTGGGGAGTTGGGATTGTGGCCGTGACTCACAAGACCGATTGTGTTTTTTTTTTTTTTGGTTATGAGACCGATTGCGATTTGAGACTAGATGGGAAGAAGAGGTTTTTTTTTTTTTTTTTTTTTTTTTTTTTTTTTTTTTTTTTTATGTGTGTATCGCAAGCAGGAGGTGCCGAGGTGGGATCGATCGTGATTCGTGAACGTCATTACGTGACATGGTTTTCTAGCCGGGCCGGTTCCAATAGCCGGTTCTTTCCGGGTCCCGGTTCCAAATAATCACGAATTTATAGTATAGGTCCCGGCCCGACCGGTTCCATCGGGTGCCGGTTCCCCGGTCCTTTTGCTCTTCCCTAAATATATTACATGGTTTATGTGTACCTTTTTATTTGTTTATTTGTTACAAGCCATTATCATTTAAAATGCAAAAGTGGTGGGAAGTCGATTACAAAATCAAAAGCCATTATTTTTTCAAAATAAAGATCATTTACGTGTTCTACATAAAGATGCATTTGGAAAACAAATTTATTCACGTTAGTTTCTTGTTTTTTAAGTGAAATGGTGTGTAATTATAATAAATATTATCAAAATAATCAGGGGATATACTATATAAATAATTAATACTAATATTAACAATAATAATAAAAAAGTTGCTTAGAATGAAAGAAAATGAAAACATACGGTGGCTTCTTGTTTGACCCGTATCTTAAGGCAAATAAGTCGCCCCTTTGTTTGTTCTTTCCCAATCAAAGTGCCAACGTCACCATTCTTCTTATTAAAAAAAAAAAATTATTATTTAATTTATTTAATAAATAAAACCAAATATTCTTAATTTTTTTTTCTATTCTATGATGCTTATTTGCCACCTTCCAAAATTTTCTAATAAATATTAAAATATTTGATTACTAAATCTCAAAATATTAATTCTAAAAATTTCAAAATCCACCTTTTTTGGAAACAATATCAAGATTTGTTTAATATTTCAAACACAAATCATATCATATTTCAATAACCTTTTAAATCATTTATGATTTTATTCTCGTAAAATTATGATTATATTATTTTTCTTACCAACTATACAAATCAATCTTATACCACATTTGTTTTTGTCATATTTTATTTTATTTTTGTCTGTATAATATTTATAATAATACTAATTGTGGTTTTCACGAGTTATAATCTAGTATCTTTCTACACTAATAAAAGAATATATTTATTAGTATCACTTGTCATTTTCTTATAATTTACGTTTTTTTTTTTTCAAATGTCTATAAAAATAACACTTGTTATTTTCTCATCATTTTTTATTTTTTAAAAAGTATTGATGTCGATAATAAATTAGTTAATTATTTATTTGATCCTTAATTTTTAGGAAAATTTAAAATCATTTTGAATAAGTTTCGATTATGATTGTCGAGAATTAATTGTATTTTCATATTGTAGATCGTACAAAATGATGTTTAATTGATAATTTATTAAAAAAAACATGATTAATAATTATGAGTTTTTACTATAAAAAAAACTAATTACTTATATAATCGCAGTTTCCATGGTTCATAGACCAATCTTCTAATAAAAGAGTATAAAATTTATCATTTATCATTTTTTGATAATATTTTTTTATTTTATTTTTCTTCTATTCTTTAAAAATGACACACACATCTTTTTCTATGATTTTATATTAAAATTTATATCTCTAAGTCTCTTAAAATTAGCATTATTAATAGAGATTTTAAAATTTAAAATATTTGGTATTTAACTACGTGATCCTTAATAGAATAGATAATTTTATATTCCAATCATTTATTTCTCATTTTTTAGATTTTTAAAAATACACTTTTATAAATTTGCTTAAAATATTTTTTTTTTATAATTATTATATATATTGTTTTAACTTATCAACAGTGTATTACACGGGTTATAATATAATATCTTCTAATAAAAAAATATATATGTGCCACATTTTATTTTTTTTAATATTTAATTTCTTTTCTCTTACTTTATAAGAATGACACATTTATTTTTCTATATTTTTATATTTAAATTCAAATCTTCTTTTAAGATCCTTCAAACTAGTATTATTATTAGAAATTTTGAAATTCAAAATGTTTGGTAATAAAATATGCGATCCTTAGTAAAAAGAAATAATTAATTATAAAAAATCTTCTATTTCACTCATTTTGTTCTTTATGTTTAGATTTTTATAAATACCTTTTTATAAATTTATTTAAAATGTTTTCGTTCTATTTATTATCTATATTATTTTAATTTATCAACCATGTATTACACTAGTTATAACCTTGTTATACATACAAACACTAATGGTTAAAATAACAATTTTATATATATATATATATATATATATATATATATATATATATATATATATATATATATATATATATATATATATATATATGGAAAAATGAATATGTGGTTGTTGGGTAACTAAAATTGGTATAGAACCATTAAAAACGCCATCGTTTTGTAGCAAATCATTTAATACGTCCATTTTTTTTCTAAATACTTGAATTATTCTAAATTGTTTTCATGTTTATATGATACAAGATCTCAAATTCTATTAATACGATTTCTTTTTTCTCTCTGACTCTAATTTCGTTAATACTTTTCGACGCTTTGGGGAAACTAATTAAAAACTTAATCTACTTCATTGTTGCAAGGCGTCGTCTCCATTGCTAGTACGTTCTCATATATATTTCTTTATTTTCCTTCATCACAACCCCAATCACTAGTTTCATTGGCATTTAAGCAACTTGATTATTTTATTTTGTTTTTTGTAAGCGGGTATCACCTTTAGGTATTCATTCCGTGTTCAATATTGATGTTTGATTTTATTTAACATTTAATAATCTATATTATTTTTTGGTATTGTTATAGGATTCGATCTACTTTCTTTTACATGTAATTCAAATTTGAAGTTTTTTTTTGCCATAATTTGTTGGTATGTATCACAATTAGCTAAATCGTGTACTTTTCAATTTTAAAGTTTGAGTTTTTGTAACATTTAATAATCTATATCATTTCTTGGTGTTGCTATAGAATTCGATATACAAAAGTACTACAATTTTGCTGCTAAAGTTCTCAAGAACCATTTTAATTCAGTGCAATATTTGGATGTTGTCCCAAGTAAATCCAATTTGAAAGACTGATGGTTGTTGGGATGCCTTCGAGATTCAAACCCATGAGGGCTTAATCCTCTGGACAAATGTTTAAGAAACTAGGAAGTAGAACAAGAATGTCCTAAAAAATCACACCGATTGAGAGATTTGCATAAATTTTGAGATAAAACTGTTTTGGGCTAATTTTATACAACGATATAACCCAACATCCCAAATAGCCAAGCAGATAAAACTTTTCTGACTTGGTTAGGTCAATTACTTCATATATCGAGATGAATATTGTTTAACGAGATGGAAGTAAAAAATCTCCATATGGAGAATCCTAGGCCAAATTCAGTTGCATAAACACTTTACGTCCACTACTCCATTAAGACAACCAATTTAGGGCAGAGCTGGGAAGAACACGATGATCTTGGAAACATAATTTTACGGAAAAAAAAAAAAAAAAACTGTCAAGATCCAACACGAAGAATGATTATCTAAAAAAAAAATAAGTTGAAATAGAATGAATGAGGAGTTTGGAGAAAAACACAATGATGGATAAGGAATGAAACCAGTATCAGAGAAGAGGGAAGAGAAGCAAATTTTGAGAAGTTGATTTGGATGGAACAAATATGTGATTCGTAACAAGAAAAAAACATATTTAATTGATTTTTTCCCAATAAAGATGTAGTTTTGGGAGTTCCACACCTAAACTTACATACCCAACAATCATATATTCCATAACCCATATATATATATATATATATATATATATATATATATATATATATATATATATATATATATATATATATATATATATATATTATACTAGCCGTGTACCCGCACAAAGCGGCGGGCGGCAAATAATTTGATCTCTTTAGAGTTAAAACCATTTTGCGTTCACTTCGATAAATGAATATTAAATGACATCTATTTTTCAAGAGTATTACCATACCATATTAAGGGGGTGTTTGGTTAAGCTTTTTTTAAAACAACTTATTAGCTTCCACATCACTATAAGTTAAAAAAATGTTTGGATTAAAATAACTTATTCCCGTGGGGAACCTCTAATACGTCATTTTTTCATAAGTTACCCCACACTTACTTATTAACTTATAAGCAATAAGCTTTTTTGTCAAACAAGCCCTAAATGGTTATTACTTCCATTTATACATAACCAAACCACTTGTACTGTTTATCGTCATCTTTTTTTTTTTTTTTTTTTTCGTTTTCCTTAATTACTTTATTAATTTAATGTCCTACTAAGTAAAATGCTAAAATATATAAATAATAGTTTATAAAAATAAACTTTTAGAATATCAGGTGTTGTGATTCAAAAGTCGATAAATAGGCCTTTTGAGAAGGCCAAAATACTCAGGTGTCAACTTGTTCGTTGTGATTTTAAAACAAGTTTGGTCACATATTAAAACATTTTCAACGATGGTATGTAATTCAAGGATTCATATTGATTTAGGTTCTCAAAACCTTAAAATATTGAACAAAATCTATATAGAACCTTATAATAAGGATAATAATCACCGTAATCAGGAAGTCCATGTGATGAAACTTGATATTTTAAGGACCAATGATGAAAAAGGTTTCATTTTTAGACTAAACAAGATGAAAAATATACAAACTACCTTAATCATGTCAAATCTTGTGTTTAACTGTTCTTTATTGCAAAAGTAAGATGCCAAAATATACAAACTAATGATAATACAATGCTCTAACTGGCCCTCTTGGTTGAGTTCTTTGAACCTGC